AAACTTCCTCAGGCTTTCTGTGGGTTCAGTTATCCATGTCTGGGCACCATATGTAACATGAGGGCCGGCTTGTTGGGGTATCTGTCCTGCCCGGTACCCCACAGCTGGCATATCCCAAAGAAAATCACACACAAGATTCCATAAGATTATAAACTGATTGGCCCATTAGGTCAGGCTTCTTATTAGTCCTTGAAACTTATATTAATCCATTATCATTATCTATGTTAGCCATAGTGGCTCAGTACCTTTTCCAGCTGGGCAGCTTACATGTTGCTTCTTCAGTGATCTGGGCAGGAATGGAGAAGGAGCTTCCTGCTTTCCAGAATACTCCCAGTTTCTTTGCTCCACCTCTACTTCTTGTCTGGCTTTCCCGCCTATACTGCCTGCCTGGCCAATCAGTGTTTTATTAAAATATGATTGACAGAATACAGACAATTCTCCTGCATCACAACTTTGTTTCTCTGAAACCACATTCAGCAGATCACAGCCACCTGTAACTCCAGTTCCAGGAGATTCAACACCTTCTTCTGATCTTCATGGGTAACCACACACATATGGCATGTATTCATAAGACACATACCCATAAATAAAAAGAAATCTTATAAAGAATCTTCACAGATAGTAATTCAAAAATATTCTTCATCTTATTTATTTTATTTATGTCTGCCTGTTCAGAGGTCACCCTCCAGTGCTGGCCATCAAGAGCTGTCTAACTTATCTTTTGAGATAGGGTCCTTCACTGAAGCCTGGGACTCAAAGATTAGACTAGGCTGGCTGTCCAGAAATAGCCAGAGATCTTCTTGTCTCTGCCTCCCCAACACTGTGATTAAAGATAGAGGCTATCTCATCTGGCCTTTACATTGGGTCTGTGGATCAAATTTAGGTCCTGAAATTTGCTTAACAAGCACTTGACTGACTGAACCATATCTCCACTCCCATGACTATATATTTTAAATAAGTGTTCAAAATGCCACTGTCTTACTGTTTATTAAGAAATGTGGAATGTAGCATTTAGAGAACAAAGAACTGCCAAAATATGTTAATACATCACCATGTACATGTTTTTGGGTTGGTGGGATTGTTTGTTTGTTTGTTTAAGGTTCTCTCTTTTCTAATGGATGATAAGGGAACAGGGTGCTAGGTATGCTTTACATCATTGTATTAGAGATTGTGAATAATGAATGAATGACCAGCACCTAAGAGCAGCCTACTACAGACATGAAAGTGGAGGCCAGGAAGAGCGGAGGAAGGTGGGTACATAACCTAGGAGATACACACACACACACACACACACACACACACACACACACACACACCTTCCCAAAGGCCATAACCTCTTCTAAGTAGAGAAATACTGAGTATTATTTCTGGTGCAGTCACACTTTCAACATACAAATATCTACTGTCTGCCTTGTACAAAGCATATTCTGGGTGTTTTTAAATTACATACAATTGTGTGAAAATAAAGAGAATATTTGCTCTTTAGGAAACAACTACCAAGCTATTCTTCCTAGGAATAGCATAGCATCCTTGCTATAGGACATGGATGATCTTCTCTTGGGTTTGCCACCTTGACTGACTCCTTTTGGATAAGAATTTCAGCATATTTGTATATGATTGAAATGTGATGTCAAGAAAACAGACAACCTGGTGCTTCTTAAAAATTAGAGAGAAACCAGAGGGAGAAAATGTTCATGTACTCAGAGACATGCAGAAAAGGAAAGGGTTCACTTACGGAATTGGCATCAGTGTAAGACTCATGGAGAAAAATGAGCTAATGAGAAAGTTCCTGGTTTCAAAGTACAAAACCTACAGAAAAGAAAAGTAAGATTGGATATCTTCTTTATGTTACATAGTACAAAAGACACTTTTTTACAAGAATAACAAATGACCGATAACACATGAAAAGATGTTTGACATCTTTAGTCAGCAGAGAAATGCAAGTAAAGAAGCACACAAAAGTTCCATCTCACTGCAAATAGAATTCCTTTATCAAGAAAATAACAACAAATGCCTGTGAAAATATAGGATACTTATGCACAGTTGGTGGCAATGCAAGTTAGTACAGTCACTTTGGAAATAAGTACAGACAGAGGGTCCTCAAAAAAACTAAAAATAAAACCATGCACTCCAGCTTTACCACTCCTAAGTATAGACTCAAAGGTAACAAAGCTAGCCTACAACAGCATTATCTGCATTTCCGTGTTTAATTCAGTAGTATTTGCAGTATCTAAATTATGAGATTAGTCCAGCTGTCCATCAAAAGATGGATGAATAAAGATAATGCAGTAAACCCTAAGAAGATTGATGTTATGTTTTTTACAAGAAAGCAGAAGGAATTGGAGGTCGTCACCTTAAGCAAATGAAGCCAAACTCAGAAGAATGAATACTGCATGGTTCTTCAGAAGCAGAATCTAGATTTTTTTTAAAAATGGACATAAAAGTAGAGAAAAGAGATGAGAATAAAAGGGAGAGTAATGCAACATAAACAGAATAAAAATACTCATGTCAATGCATGAAAATTTCAGAACAGATACATTATATATTACTAACATAAAACTATTAAATATTATTATCATAAAACTGAAAAGTAGTGATCAAGAAAATGAGTCTGATCAATGTGAAGGCCTAGCTCTTATCTGTTACAACAAATGCCTTGGATGACTAATATTATGAGAGAAATCAAAGGGTACAAACACTTTTGGGGACCAGTTGGTTGAAAGTGGGGGCAACTTTAGGAGATGAGACATGTGAGAAACCAATAAAGAATAAATGACAATGAAAGTGAAGAATTATGATAATGAAGTTGTAAGACTCCCAGAATTTATAGAACTCTTACAACTGAAATCCATAAAAGTATTTTTGTGCCTATATACTTATCCTCCCACCTCCCATGCAAACAGTCCTGGTCTTGAAGGCCATTCCTCATGAGAGAATAGGAAGATGTATGTTCACAACGTTAAAAGAAACATGACTGAATATGCATGAAACAAGTGCAAGAACATGGATGAAAAACTAGACAGACAGACACACAAATAGACACAGACAGATGTATATATGTGTATGGATGGATGGATGAAGTGATCAAAATAGTGATCACTATTTTGATAAGTGAAGATATACAAAATGAGACACTCCCCCACCTCAGCTCAATCCTGCAGAACAGCTAGAATCAGAATGATTTGTTGAAATTAAAAGTCTTGTGTGAGTGGGACGAGAAAGCTTACATCACAATGGGGAGTCAAAGATAGATACCTGGGGTACATATAAAAAAAGGACAATCCCCGGACAGAAGGAAGATGGACTGCAGATACCCCTGAAAAGCATGGGGTGGTCTGAGTCAACACTGGAGGACCTGACTTGGAATTGCAGGGTGGGGCTACTGCTTCTGTGTGGTCTTACAGACAACTATACACACATTCCAAGGGTCTCCGGGCCTTCATCTCCTGAGATCCCATCTGGAAAGTTAGTTATAGCATCCAAACTTGCAAACAACACTCAGCTCCTTCCAGGTCTCTGGAAGACTAGAGGTCGTGAGGCCTATAGTTCTGACTTCTGTTATTTACCAGAACTACTGAGCTTCATCCATCTTACCAAAATACGCTTCTAGCCGAAGGTTCCCACAGCTTCACTAAACACAAAGTACAGTCTTCAAAAGTAAATTGGATCACAAATGAATAGCAATTCCTTCCAGATCAGTGAATTATCATGCCTCGGCAGTGTGTGGCCAACACTTCTGTCAGGCCACCAAAGGAAAAACAAAACAAGTGTGACTAATTGCAATTAGAGAGAACAATGACCCAGAAACACCCTTCGTGGGAGGGGGATAGCTGGTGTTGAGGTTTTGTCTCCAGAGAGTTCCAGTCTCTCCATGTTTCTATGCTGCTGACTTAGCAGGGGTCCCACTTCTTGAATTCTCCTCTGTGCTTGCATAGCTCTTCTTCCTTTTCCTGTGTTCACAAAGTTGCCTCATCGATGGCCTGTGCACTCGCTTCTGACTCTCAAGCTACCTTCTAGTTAGCAGAAGGGAAGGTGAATCTGTTAGCCAGTATATGCAGACTCTTCTGGAAAGCCATAACATGTGAACTCAAATTTCTCTAGAACAGTAGTTCTCAACCCTTTAATAAAGTTCCTTACATTGTGCTGAACACCAACTGTAAAATTATTTACATTGCTACTTTACAACTGTAATTTTGCTACTCTTAGGAATTATAAAATCCATTCTTTGGACATAGAGGTTTGTCAAAAGATCTCAACCCACAGACTGAGAACCACTGCTCTACAAATTGTCACACCACAACAGGGCACCACATAAAGAAAAGAAGGGATTCTAAGCAGAGCCTTGCCTGAGATTCTGTCTGTGGGAAGCAAGATAAGCAGTGTGGATCTGATCAGATTGATGTTCCGTTACCTCAGAGCCTCCCTTTTTATTCAGAGCCAAACTGACTGTCCAACTAAACTGTTCTCTGTTTTTGGGAAGTCCCAATCATGGAGTCACAGTGTGTTGGTCATCTGCCAAATATCTCTAATTTTTCCAAGACCTGCACTGCGGTAAGAATGCACTTCCCCATCTCTTGTTTGTTTATATCTTACCCCTTTGGTTGCTCTTGTGACTACCTTTGTCCATAAACTATGAGAAATACCATTGTCAACATAGGCAGGGACTTCCAGAGTGGAAGCATCTCCCACCTTCGCTTCACTGCTCCTACCACAGGAAATCTTGCGTTTCACTGGCTAGAAGCAGTGAACAGAGATGAGGAGCCAAGCACCCTCCTCTTCCATATCAGAAACAAGTAGGAAAAGGAAATACACCTGTGCTCTTTCTGACCATTGAGATTTCACGGAGGCTTTGTTCCTGTAGCATAAGTTAGTCTGTAGAAATGGCTTCACAGATTTCTTGCAGCACTGACTGTCTTAGTTACTTTTTGGTTTTCTCTTCTTTGCTTTCCTTTCATTTTTTCTTCTTTTCTTGGTTTCTTTTTCTTTTCTTTTTTGCTGGGGGGGGGCTTGAACTCAATCCCTCAACTATCACAAATTATTCAGTCAAGTTTCTTGAATTTGGGGAAATTTGGGTTCAATACATCTGGAGCACAAAGGACAATCCTGGCCTGGGAAAACCACCTTTGTGATAATGGCACTTACCCTGCCAGCTAAGTATTTTAGTTTATTTTCTACTGCTGTGACAAAACACCATGAACAAGGACACTCATATAAGAAAGGATTTAATTCTGCTTACAGTTTTAGAGGGTGAGGGTCCATGATGGCAGAGCAAAGGCATGGTGGGGGGAGCAGAGGAAGTCCATGTGTGTTTTTGACAGGAGCCCACCATGGAAAATAATAAAGCCTTTCTGCTGGGGTGTGACTCAGAGGGATGGCAAAGTCTTTCTCTGGCACATGTACAGATGCCGATGATGCGTGCAGAGTATTTCATAGGTCTCTCCCCTTCCCCGTGGTATTCCCCTACAGAGACTGCTCTCACTGAGATTAGCTAAACCCGCCTCCTCACTTCAGCTGTCTAACAGAAACCCCCAACTCTTTGTTCAATTGTTTGCACTAACCTCACCTCCTTATCTGAATGTATATTATGCACACCCTGAGCTTCCTGAGTGCTGCAGTTTCTCCATCAGAGAGTACAGTCCACCTAATCTCAGTTGTGTGTGTGTGTGTGTGTGCGTGTGCAACATGTGTCTGTGTTCATCCTTTTCCAACTCCATTAAAGTCATCTCTGGAGCCACACTGGCCACGGCAGCATGGCAGTGGGAATAACTGAGAGGTCACATAGTTTGTGAGATATTTGCCTGTCTTTGATGACAGACAAAGAAAATGTAGAGGGGATGGAGGGACATTTTTGAAACCTTAAACTTGCTCCCAGTGACACACCTCTTCCAACAAGGCCCCACCTCTTAATCCTTCCCAAACAGTCAATAGCTGAGAACCAAGTATTCAAATGCCTGAGTTTTATGGGAGACACCAAATTAGCATATTCCACTTCCTTCCCCCCCCCCCATAGTCTCGTGGTCACACAATAAAGCAATATGTATTCAGGCCAACTGCAAATGTCTTCATAGTCTTTCACAGTCTCAATACTATTTAAAAGTCTAGTGTGAGAGAATTGTCTGTATTCTGTCAATCATATTGTAATAAAACGCTGATTGGCCAGGCAGAGAGTATAGGTGGAAAAGCCAGACAGGAAGTAGAGGTGGAGCAAAGAGACTGGGAGTATTCTGGGAAGCAGGAAGCTCCCTCCACCATTCCTGCCCAGACCACCAAAGAGGCAACATGTGAGCTGCCACGCTGAGAAAGGTACTGAACCATGTGGCTAACGTAGATTAGAATAATGAATTAATATAAGTCATAATAGCTAATAAGAAGCCTGAGCTAATGGGCCAATCAGTTTATAACCTAACGTAGACAGTGTGTGATTTTCTTTGGGTCTTGCCAGCTGTGGGGCATTGGGTGGGACAGATACCCCAACAAGCCGGCCCTCATGTTACAAAAGTCCAAAGACTTCTCTGACACTCTAAGCAATCTCTTTACTGCAACCCCTGTAAAATCAACAGGCAAATCATATACTTCCAACATACAGTGGCACAGAATATAGATTGCCATTCCAAAATAAAAATCAGGGCATTATTAAGAAAGACAGAAACACAGCAGTAAAAAGCTATAAATCCTGTAGCTCTATGTTCAAGCTCAAAGGACTTAGATGCCCCTGTCCTTATAACTTTGTTGCTTGAAATGCCCGTCTCCCTTTCAGGCTTGTTATGCTCTCTGTGTGCAGCTCTTCTTGGTAGACTGAGACATGTCCAACATTTTAGGATCTTCAACTCAATCCAGGCACCAGTTCAACCAATAGCACGTCGGGGCCTCTTGCTCCCTCAAGGCCTTCATGCAGAAATGTCCCTGCCACACGTTGCCTGGCCTCAGAAGCTCTTCTTAATTACAGATGTGGGAGGGTCCAACCCATTATGGGTAGAGCAATCTCTGGGCTGGTGGCCCTGGGTTGTATAAGAAAGCAGGCTGAGCGAACCATGAGGAGCAAGTCAGTAAGCAGCACTCCTCCTTGATCCCTGCATCAGCTCCTGCCTCCAGTGTTCTGACTTGCCTGAGTTCCTGCCCTCACTGCTTTTGATGATGAACTGTGACTAAAATAAATCATTCCTCTCAAAATTGCCTTTGGTGGTGGTCTTTGATTATAGCGATAGGAAGCCTAAGTTTAATAATAAACTTGTCATTTAGGTACTAGGATAATACGCACTTCAGGATGACTCTTGTTCAGTGAAACGCTTTGGCAGAACCAGCCAGAATCACTCATGCCATGTATCCCACAAAGCAGTCTGTGGAATAAGTTTTGAGTGAAATCTTTTAATTTTGTAAAAGTAATGATATTTTCAATATTTTTACACAAGGAAAGGAAGGTTTGAGGATTATTTTATTTAACTTGGTGACTATGCTCATTTAAAATAATATTTGACTTGATGTAGATGAATTTTTAAGATAGATTTATTTGTTTATATGTATGCATGTGTACATGTATGCATACATGAGTTTTATGTGCATTACTTTTATATAAATATTCACAGAGATCAAAGGGCATCAGATACCCTAGAACTGGAGCTATAAAAGGTTGTGAACCATCAGATATGAATGCTGGGAACTGAATCCAGGTTCTCTGCAAGACTAGTAGGCAATATTAACTACTCACACATCTCTTGAGACACTACAACTGAGCTTTAAAATGTGTGTACCCCACTGTCTCAGAACTGCCTGTGTCATAACCTTCCCTGTATTAAAATAAAAATTAAAAGCACCTTAAGATATGAACCAGTGGTGGTTTAAATGAGAACAGCCCTCATAGGCTTATAGCTTTAGATGCCTTGTCCCAGGACTGTAAAACTGTGTGGGAAGGATTAAGAGAAGTGGCATGTTTGAGGACCAGCTTTGAAGTTTCCAAAGCTCACATCATTCTCAATTAGCATTCCCTCTTCATCCCCCACCCTGTCTCATGCTGTTGTCTCAAGATAGAAGTTCATAGTTACTGCTCCAGTGCCATGTCTATCTGCCTGTTGCAATGTTCCTTGCCATGATGGCCACTGACTAACCCTATGAAACAAAGTCCCACTAAATTCTTTCATCTATAGGTTTCTGTGATCATTGTATCTTAGCACGGCAACAGAAAAAGAATTAAGACAGATCCTTGTTTATCAAAAGTGAAATTTTTGGACATTGCTTGGGAATCAGATGTTGCTTCTGTTCCAGAACAATCTCAAAGCCACAGGCACTGCTCTCAGTCCAGATGCTGAAGTCCACAGGTTTCTTCATTAATTCCCAAATTCATCCATAAAGATTGTAATATTCTCATACATTCTTGAAGAGTTCCATGAATCATATTTTACATTTGGATTTGAATTTCTTTCTGATCCTGTGCTTTTCTGCTAGACCAAGGCTGATTTCTTTGAAATCCATGGTGTCAAAGGGGTAAATCCCACAGTCTCCCTCGTGTCTTGAAAACTCCTATATTTATATCAAATATTCTAACGACATTGTAATTTTAATGTAATGTTTTGTTTGAATCAAGGAGTCAGGGGACGTGTTTAAGGTGTCAAAAAAGAGGGAAGGGCACAGTAAAAAAAAATGATAGTCCCCTTCACTATTGTTCTTTGTTGCAAATTTCTCTTTGCTTTCCAGAAGCAGCGTGGGCACATGGTCCTAGGTTTTCCCTGTATATATACAAGTGTATATACTTATACTCATGTGGATGCACTTACTGCTTATTGCACTATGGATGATAGAGGGGTGAAACTCATTATATCTGGGTCAACATCTGGGTTTTATTAAATGCTGGATGCTGCAACAAATGAAGGAATTCAAAGATGAAATTGCACTCTTATCTCAGCCGTGCTTTCTTCCTCTGATCACACACTTAAGAGTCACATGGGAATACAGACACATTGTTCACTTAAATGGGTCATGATCATAGTACAGAACAACTATCATTGTTCTGTAACTTTTTATTACCGTCTAATTATTGTCTCATGTCTGAACATTCCACCATCTTATCCTTAATGAAGATGTCACAGATTGGCTGCTTCCATAATTTATGAAACCATTCCTATGCTGGTCAATGCTGAGCTTCTTTATAATATTCCCTATCAATAAAACTATTTACAATTCACGTATTTTTGATTATATGTGTATATATGACTGATTTCAAGAACTTGGAACCAAAAGTCATCAAAGTCATACATTTTTGCTTTCAACAGATAGCACCAATTAATTTTAAGAAAACCTTAGCAGTTACTTCTCACACTGTAGAAATGACTTCAAGATTCTTCAGTTTCAGCAGCAGTAAAGAATAAATTAAATGAAAACAGGCATGTTAAAATATGCATTTGGTGTTTGCATCTCCAATTAGTGAAGTCCCATTTCATATCCTACTTCCTGGTGAAATTTTAAAACCACAAAAACTTAAACATAACTAGCACACATCAAAGGTTAACTGGGATTATACTTGTATTCATTATATTTATGGACCAAATCCTGTAACTGGGAGAAGCAAAAATTCTAATGGGTTAATTAATTTTGTCTTTGTTTGTCAGTTTTAAGATAAGGTCTTGCTGAGCAGCCCAGAGTGGCCTCAAACTCACAATCCTCCTGCCTCAGCCACCCAAAGACTTGACTCAAAGATACTACCACGCCTGACTGGCTCAATGGACCCTGGAATTTTACCTCTTCTCACACAACAGAATGAAAATGCATAGTTTGAATGGATGAGGCAGATCTGTGACACGCAGTGTCTCCAAGATTCAGTTTCCTTCAAGTTGACTGTTATATTCTGCAACACAAATAAAGCTATATCCGGAAAAAATCTTGAATTTTGCCTGAGGTTAGCATTCATACCCAGATTTGTCACTTCTGCCGCCATCCTAGGAATAAGAACTTAGTTAGCTGCAAGGGGGGCTGGAAGGTAGGATCTACTTCACAGATCTGTGTCCAAATACAACTCTGTTTCCAGGAGGAGAGGCAGAAGTGGTTTGGGTGAAACTATCAGGCTCACTAGTTAAATCCACAAATGTTACAGAATGATTCAAACTATTAGACAAAATTAAGAAGATGGCATTTCTTAAAGTTAAATCAAGAAGATAAAATTGCTTTTTA